TACCTATACGTATAATACTGTCCCTTTCTTTGAGATACAAGGACATATATATATATATATATGTTTATCGCATGATTATTATAAAGCTGTAAGCGTATGTGCAATTGCAAGGTTTGGGAAGGACTGCTTGTTGGTGAGGAGGACTTTGGATGCGTGGGTCGATGCGATTGATTTAAATGCATTTAATTATTATTTTCTCTCTCTTTCTTTCTATTCAGGTTTGCGACAACTGCGTGGACAGATGGGCAGAGCAATACCCTCAGCGTGTTGCGTTGATATGCGAAGGCGACAACTCGGAGGAAAGTCAGGTGGTAACGTACAGAGAAATGCAGGGTGAGTATAGAGAACAATGTTTATTAAAGGTGGCGAGTGGTTTATTGTGATTTGTTTATGCTGCATGCGCTCCATTGCAATGCATCTTGCTTCTGGTGTACGTACAGAGGTGTATGTACACCGCATGGGAGGCGGGGGTGTGTGGAGTGTGATGCACTGTTGCTTTCACTTGTTTTCTTTTCAGACCAAGTTTGTCGATTCGCCAACCTCCTCAAGAGCCTCGACGTACGCAAAGGCGACATCGTCACCATTTACCTCCCCATGATTCCAGAAATTGTCTACGCTATGTTGGCCTGTGCGCGGATCGGCGCTGTTCACAGGTCTGCTAGTAATTCAATAATTAGACAACAACAAACAACACCCAGCAATACGCATGCCCATGTAATGCATACCTCCCCAGTATTATTCTTTTAAGAGACGTTGCAAATGATATATATATATATATATACATGTATATATGCTGCATTGCTTGGTCTTTCGTCTGTAAGTTGCGGGGAGGGGACCTCCTGTAGATGATATAAATAAACATGCTTTTCTTTGTTTGCATCCTTGGCTGGACGACCTTACTATTTCTAAACAGTTGGGTGCATAGGGATATATTTCGTGCTGCAGCACAGAAGGAGGGTTTGGAGTGGTTTAGTGTTTTTGTTTTTTCGGTTAATGAAGGAAGGGGGCATGCGCAAGTGTTTAGGGTTTAGGGTTTAGGGTTTAGGGTTTGCTGCTTGTTCTGTACGTTGTTTTGTCTCTGTGATTTCAGCGTCGTCTTCGCCGGTTTTTCCGCTCACAGTTTAGCAGAGCGGCTGGAAGACGCAAACAGTCGTGTGGTGCGTCTGCGGGGGTGTACCTACAGCTCAGCTATGCAGGAATAGCAGCAGCAGCAGCAGCAGCAGCAGCAGCAGTGGTTGGAGTAGCTTTGTGATGTAGGGCTGTGCTGCTGGAGTTAGTTTGTTTGCTTTGTTGTTCGTCTGCTTTCTGCAGCTAATCACAGCAACTAACGCCATGAGGGGAGGCCGCATTGTACGGCTTAAAGAGGTGGTAGACGAAGCACTGAAGCTCTGTTCTTGCGTTCAGCACGTTGTCTTGTTTAGAAAATCAGGTGGGCTGCAGTCCTTTGTTCGTTTAGTTTCTTTTAGTTGTTTGTTTGTTTGTTTGTTTGCTGTTATTTGACTTGTCGTTTGTTTGATTCGCTGTTCGTTTCTTCGTTTACTCGTGGGTTTTCTTCTTCTTCGGGTCGTCTGTTTGTTCAGTCGTTTGTTCTTCTGTAGTTGTTTGTTTGTTTGTTTTGTTTGTTTGTTTGCTTGCTGCATATTTATTTGTTTATATTGTTGCGCTTGCACTCATTCGAGTGTACAGGGGGAATTGATGTGCGCTGCCGTGCGTTGGCTCCTCCACCTTATATATGAATATATATATACATATATATATATATTAGATATAGATACGGATATAGATATATATAGATATATATACATATACATATGCATATACATATATATAGGCGTCTATACATCTATAGAATATATAATATATATATATATATATATATATATATATTTGTCTGTATTTGTCTATATTCCTGGGTCTTCTTTGTTGTGTTTACATTCGTATGGATTGCATATTCGAGTTTTTTTCTCTGCATTTTAAGTTTCTTTAGCTTTGATTTTATTATTTGTTTGTTTTTTCTGTTTCTATTTTATATTCAGCTGACCCAACGAGCTTCGTCGATGGACGCGATCTCTCTGGAGACGATTTACTGCCTCAGATGCGGCCGTACTGCCCGTTAGAAACGATGGACAGCGAAGATCTTTTATTTATTCTTTATACTTCGGGTTCTACTGGCAAGCCTAAGGTAAAATAGAAACACAAACTCATAGCGGGGACATGCAGTATATACACCTAAAAGAGTAGCATTTGCTGCGTTGTGTTGTTTGCTGGGTTTGTCTGTTTCCTAATGGCTCTTGGGCTGTTCTTTTCTTTTACTGCTTCTCTTCTCATTCGTCTTGTGATTCTCCTTCATTCGTTTTGTGTCTGTCTAGTGCTGCTGTGCTGTGCTGTATTTGTTTCTTGTGTTTTGTTGTTGTGGGCTGTATCGCACTTTGTTTTGTATTATTCCAATGCATAATACTTTGTTATGCGTTGTTTCGATGTAGATTATTAACATAATATATACATATATATATTATAGATATATATTATTGTGGATGGTTTCTTATATTTGTTGTGTGGATGCATGCTTGCGGTGTATGTGCAGGGCGTGTGTCACACGACGGCTGGCTATTTGCTGTATGCGGCATTGACTCATGAATATATTTTTGATTTTCACCCTGGCGATACCTTCGGGTGTATGGCGGACTGTGGCTGGATAACCGGTCATTCGTACACTGTCTACGGCCCGCTCTGCAACGGTGCGACGACAGTTCTTTTTCAAGGCATTCCTACGTATCCTAATCCAGGAAGGTAAATGTTGCGACACGATATTAACTCCTTTTGCTACTGGCTTCGTTGCTCTCGCTTTCTCTCTTACGGTGTATCCATGTCTCTCTCTCTGTATCTCTGTCTCTATCTCCCTCACTCTCTTTCTCTCCGCCTCTTTCTCTATATCTTTCTCTTTCTCTATCTCGCTTTCTGTCTGTCTCTCTGTCTCTGTCTATCTGTCTCTGTCTGTCTATCTGTCTCTTTCTCGGTCTCTTTCTATTTCTTTGTAGACTCCTCTTGTATCTGTTTTTTTTGTTTTAGTTTGTGTTTGTTTGTGTTGGTTGCAGATACTGGGAGTTGGTGCAGAAGTGGAAAGTAACCCAACTCTACACCTCACCCACTGCCATCAGGTGGGTGCATCAGGGAGGGCTTGCGGTGTATGTACACCGTAACTATATATATATAACTATATATATAACTGACTATATATATATGTATGTAGCGGTGTTGTTGCTGTTGCTGCAGTTTGCGTTGTTTGTCGTTTGTTCGTGTTGGTGTTTTCTTCTGACTGTTGTTACATTATCTCTCTTCATGACTGGATAATAATTATTATTATTAATCATTATTAATTATTATTAGCATTTATTCTTATTATAACAATTACTGTTAGTATTATTATTTGCTATTGTTATTATTCTAACTACAATTACGATTATAATTGATATTAATTTGAAGTGCGTGTAGTATTTGTTATGAATTGCAGAGCCTTGATGCAGCACGGAGACGACTGGCCGAAGAAGTACGATTTGAGTACACTGCGTGTAATTGGGTCAGTGGGCGAGCCGATAAACCCCGAGGCTTGGCGTTGGTACTTCACTCATGTTGGATTAAAGCAGTGCTCAGTTGTCGATACATACTGGCAGACAGAGACAGGCGGGCACGTCTTAGCACCCTTCCCAGGTGCTTCTGTAACGAAGCCAGGCTGCGCTATGCTTCCTTTCTTTGGAGTCGAACCCGCTATTGTTGACCCCCAATCAGGAGAAGAGAAACTAGGAAATAATGTTTGTGGTGTACTCTGCATCAAACGCTCCTGGCCAGGTATGTTGTTGCTGCTGATGTTGCTGCTGCTCGTGTTTTTGGTGGTGTACGGCTGCTACTACTATTGCTGCTGCTGTTACTGCTACCACTACTACTACTACTACTGCTGCTGCTGCTGCTGCTGCTGCTGTGTGTGTGTTGCAGGTATGTGCCGTACAGTGCACCGTGCACACAAGCGTTTATTGAATACTTACTTGAGTCCTTATCCGGGGTATTACTTCACCGGAGACGGCGCCTATAGAGACGCAGACGGCCACTATTGGATTACAGGCAGAGTCGATGATACTCTCAACGTCTCAGGTGAGATATTCGCACAGTAATTACGTTTAATAACAAACTACTATCGGTTTTATTGTATATGTACTGTCGTATATATATATATATATATATGTATGTATGTATTATATGGGTGTACATGCATGCTGTACGCATGCATGAAATTCTATACAGCATATATATATATATATATATATACATTATATCTGCATCTGTATATCTCTCTCCATCTAGCTCTACATCTACATATGTATATAAGTATATATACATATGTATATATATACTTATATACATATATAGAATATATGCATATATATATGTATATATACATGTATATATATGGTATATATGGCAGACAGAGATGTGATACCACATGCTCAATTTGTAGAAGACGCGGCAGTGTGTGCGCATCTTTTTCTCTTGTTAGATTATTCTTTAGTTTGATTATTCTTCTGTTTATTATTTTATTATATATTATTATTATATTATTATATTATACTATTATTTTATTTTGTTATGAACACAGGACACAGGCTGAGTACAGCTGAAATTGAACACGCGTTGGTGCAGCACCCCAGCATTGTAGAGGCTGCGGTAGTGGGCGTTCCTCACGATGTAAAGGGAACAGCGGTGTTTTGTTTTGTGATATTAAAGGTAATTAAAGTTTAAATAAATATTATTAATATTCAATTAATATATTAAACAATGGCAAATTGAATTTCCTATTCAGTGCAACAAAAAACAAATGACGAGATCAACTATTTCTCGCGCAAAACCGTTTTAATTGATTTCACCCTCTGCATATACACCCGAATGTCCGTATACACCCGAATGTCCGTATACACCCGAATGTTCATATACACCGGAAACAGAGACAAATATAGCGATAGAGACAATAGGGGAGTTATTATTGTTGGATGCTGGTTCTTTGTTTTCTTTTGAATTAGGCTGGAGCCTCAGCAGAGGGTATTGTTGAGCAGGCGAGGATACAAGTCAGGAAAGAGATTGGCCCCATAGCAACACCAGACTTCATTGTTGTTGCTCCCGGTACGTCCACCTCAGACGGATCTGTGTATACACCTGAATGATGTTTATATTTTATATTCAATTACGCTTAGCTTGATGCTTCCTTTCACTGCAACTTGAAACGGAGAATCATATACTCTATCGACTTTATCTTCAATTCTTTTGTCTTCAAACCGTCTTCTCTTCTGCTACTGGTCTCTTGCGTTTCCTTTGTGATGTTTCTTCTCTTTTCTCTCGCCTTTTATCTGTTTCTTTGCTGTCTCTTTTACTGTTTATCCCGTCTATGTTTTTGTGGTTTGTTCGTTTGTTCATTTTATCCAAATCTATATTATTGATGAGGCATCCTTTATTATCATTTTCTTTGTCTATCAGACAGATATCGTACGCCTTTGAATTCGTATTAATTGCCACTGCATGCATGCATGCATGCATGCATTCATTCATTTATGCATGCATTCATATATGTATTACTGTGGTGTACAGGCCTTCCTAAGACACAAAGCGGGAAGATAATGCGGCGTTTGCTGCGCAAGTTGTGCTGTCTTGACACCAACCTGGGGGATACAACTTCTCTATGCAACGCTGAGGTGCTGAACTCACTTCGGTCTTTGGTCACGGAGACAGTCTTGATGGAGAGAAAAAAACAAATGATGGCAGCGCCGCAGCCGCCCAAGGAGAATCCAGATCATACAAACACTGAGCATACAACCAGCAGCTAGCTAGCTAGCTAGTTAGGCCTAGCTAGCAGCTGCAAGTACCTATGGATGGCTAGCTAACAGCTAGCTGTTGTCGGTTACTAGCTGTGCAGATTCAGCACATTTTTAACAGATATTATATATTGGCTAGCTATACAGATAGCTAGCAGCTAGCTCTACTGGATACCCAGCTAGCTGTACCGATGGTAAACAGCTAGTGTAGCTAGCTGGTAAACAGCTAGCTGTAGCTAGCTGGCTGGTAAGCAGCTAGCTACCTGTAGCTGGCTAGCTGCATCCTTCGTTGGATCTGCTCCTGTAGGCGCAGGTTGTTGCGTTGTGTTGGTGTTGTACATTGTTGTTGCCGTCGTTTTATTTATTTATTATTTATTTATTTATTCTTCGATTGTCTTCTTCTCGGCGCAAGATGAGTAAAGAGAAGTTTCTTTCTTTATTCAAATCCCTAATCATTCACCCTCAACCCGAACAGCAGCAACAAGACAGAAATAAATAAAATAAATAAGCAACAACAGCAACAACAACGAAAAGAAGGAGAGGACGAAGAACAAGAAGTAGAATAAGAAGAAGAAGCTGTATGGGTATATGTTTGCTTCTCTTTCGGTGTTTGTTTAAACTGCTTCTTTATATAATAAACAGCAATGAAGGAGACACTCAGCACGAACGGCGTCGCAGATTCAAACATTATTTACTTGAGGAGGGCCTCGCTGCAGTTGATGCTTTCTAAAGAAGAAGAACAACAACAATAATAATAATGAAGAAGAAGAGAAGCAAAGAAGAAGAGGGGATTGAGTGGGGTGATGACTGCTGTGTGCATTTGCTAATCATTTAAATGATGTAGGCATTTAAACAGCAACAACAGCGGTGGTGTTATCAGTAGATACGAAGAGCAGCCAAGCTAAGCTGTCTATACACCGCAGCATTGTATTATGTTTCTTTTTGAGGGTTGCAGCAGCTGCTGCTTTTAAGTACGACATTATTATATACTCTGTGTTTATCAGCCTTTGAGTAATTCTTCTGTCTTCTCTGTCTTTCTTTCTTCCGTTTGCACGGCCTGCATTTATTATTTAAGGGGTTGAGTGTTTGCTGTGTTGGTGTACGGTGAAGGGTGAGCAGCTGCATGCGTTATGTGATATGATTTAATCTTTCTTCAGATTTTACTCAGCCCTAATTATATTCCCAGTGTATATCTATGGCTGGGGCTGTACGTACACCCCAAGTGAGCTGTAGGTTTGTGTTACGGTTGCGTAGTAATGCAAATAAGTTTTTCTTTTCAACGAAAGACGTACAGACAACTGAATATGATTTGTATCCATATATACATTAAATGCTAACATTGTATTATTAATGGGAGTAAAACAAATATAATACCCTTCGTATTGACTCCTTAGCACATCAATATATATTAATTAGCTGTATATGCATACACCCCGTTCTAAAGTAAGCAACAGGTAGTTCGCCTCATTCTAGAAAGCACTTTTAATTAATTCAATTTACTCTTTCTTAGCGCACAGACAAATAATAAATATATATTCCAGTCCCTTTCTTTTGCTTATGTTGTCGTCAGTCAGCTACGCACAACAAGCGGTGCTCGCATGCAAGCAGCAGGAGCTGCTGCTGCTGCTGTTGCTGCTGCTGCCCCCTAACAGCAAACCAACATATGCAAAATATTCTGTTTATCTGTTCCGGTGTACAGACAGTTAGGTTTGAGAGAGTAGTAGATTTAACAGACAACTAGAAATAATAAATGCATCAAAACAAATAAAATTAACACCACGACATAAACAGCATGCATATTTTCTTTTAAATAGGTAAAGGCGGTGTGGCGATGCTGCAGGGGCTCCGCATTCGGGTGTATGTACACCTGAATAATGAATAATCATTTAAATAAATAATCATTCTCCAAATAAAACGCAAAAAAGTAAATATATATTTTATATATATATATATATATATA